TTTTTTAAAAAAATTTATTTAAAAAAAAAAAAAAAAAAAAAAAAGCGAAAATGCAGCAAAAGGTCCACGAGAGGCAGCGAAAGTCGGCAAAACAACAGCGAGTCACATAGAGCAACATATACAGTACTACGTGTATATTTCATGTTTAGCGTATTTTGTTATTCATACACTAACCTAACCGAAGGGAGGGAAGTCTGGGCTTCCCTCCTAAAGCTGCTGCCCCCGCGACCCGACCCCGGATAAGCGGTGGAAAATGGATGGATGGATATATGGCTGATGTATTAATAGAGTCCTTCCTTTGCTTTTCTACATTTGTACGCATTTAAATGACAATACATACAATGTGTTACATAGAAGCTCCTCAACATTTAAGCATCCTCAAAAGTATTAATTGTCATAATTATAATCATGAGAAAAATGATAATGGGCAACATGGTGTTGGCACATCTCTCTCACAGTTCTGAGGTCTGGGGTTTGAATCTCGGCTCCAGCCTTCCTGTGTGCCATGTCTCCCTGTGATTGCGTGCGTTACGCCTACTTCCTCTCCCATTCCAACAACACACATGATAGGTTCACTGTTAAGGTCAGAAATTATCATGGTGATTTAAGTGAGAAGCATACAGAACATGTTTTTGAGGCTTTTGGTATTTTGTGGAAATGGGCAGTACTCTTGGACTTGAACTGAAGTCGTTTTGTGAAAGCAAATTTAAGATGACACTGTCTTTCAAAGCTGTTCTTGGAATCAATAATGCTGCAGGGAGCGTTATTGACTTCTCAAAATAACACAAGCTTTTTGATGTTATGGCTAACAGGAAAAACCTAACCGTGAAATTGACATGCAAAATGACCTGCATTACGGTGAACGGTGCACAGCACTGTAATGTCATCAGGCAATTGGCCTTTCCCAATATGGAAATGTCAATGTCCTGCTAAAGTATACAGCGCTCTCTCTCTCTCTCTCTCTGTCTGCCTGTCACAATCACACACTTTTGATTCAGCCTAAGCCTACTCGTGTGTTCTCAATTTAGCACTTGATGTGCCTAAATAGCCTCAGCCCCAATCTGCTGTGTGTCAGGTTTGCCACACAGCCCACACTAACACACTGCACTTGCGTGTCATGACCTGTGGTCGATGACTTGCGGGTGTGTACAGACGTGCACACACAAGCATGAGTCAGCACTCCTCGGCCGCAAGAACGTCACGTTCTGTCTTATCGCGCATCAAAGCAAAAGTGTGAGAGGATGTTCTGTCAGCGTGGCTTCATCGAGTGCCAGGTGGCAGAGCAAAATATGGCAAATTAACCACATGAGCTGTCAATGTCCAATTCCTGTCATGCCGTAGGCCTACTAGGATTCCGTATTGTAAAACCAGCCTTGTCTTATCAGAATTTAGCAATTCGGCCGTAGCTCTGATACGCGTTCATTCTCAAGTGTGAACTATGAAAGAGCAATGAGCACAGTGCACTGCGCGGTGTGCTTTCAAATCACATTTCCCAATGTGTTATCCTGACTGCTTAGTAATACTGTAATCCGAGTCAGGGAGTAACCAGCTCCAAAGTCACTGACCTTCATACAAGATCAAGCCAAAATGTAAACCAGATAATCTGAATTTGCTTACGCTACAGTTCAAATCTAATTTGATTGATCTCATTTCATTCATTTGATCCGGCAATTTTGTCAACCGAAACAACAGGCGCGAGCTGTGGACTTGAAATGCCCTTTTAGAAAGGGACACCTTTTGGATTCCAGGGAAAAAAAACTATGAAGCACGCTGTTAATGCGATGTCATACTTGTCTCACGGTCTAACTTGGGCAGTTCTGCAGAAGTCTGTGTGTCTGTTCTATTTTGGTGGTGTCGGGTCTCCGCGGAATACTATACTTGTCATCTTGTCCTGGAAAAGTACAATGTGAGAAATAACCCTTGCGAAAGCACGACGAGGAGGCGTTGCCACATACTTACAGCGGAAGTCATTGCTTAACCCCCCAAGAGGCATGCATTCACACACGCCCTTTACACTGTTGTTGCTATGTGACTGCTGAACCTTTATAGAAATCAGCCTGCTTTTTTTTGATCATTAGGGTAATCGTCTACCTCTTTGAAACGGCGAGCTGCTTCTTGGTTACTGAACATAACAGGCCTTGGGCTACTCATGTGGTCCGTGGGGGCTATCCGGTGGCCACGGGCACCACGTTGGTGACCCCTGGTTTGTACCGTATTTATGTTTACTTAAGTACGGTGTTGACAAGCACCACACAAACTGTTGCGTGCCATTGTGGGTGCGTGTGTTTGCGTCAGGGTGTTGTGAGAGAGCAGCAGTGTGCTCACACACTTCCTCACCAACGCGTGACCTCGCAGACTCTTTGACGGTCAGGATGACGTCGCTCAGCTTCCTAATCGGTCTCCCGCCCCCACCGAAGGCTTATAGGCTGCAGTAAGTGCAGCCGAGTGAGAGATCTGCTTACACTCACCTCACGGACGTCACATCGCTCTCCGCGCTTTCATCTTCACCTCCCAACAGAGCGGCGAACAGAAAAATCTTGAGCACACGGTGGACATAGACGAGGACAGAGATGGAGACAATGAGTAAGACGCGAGTCATTGCTGTTGTTGTGTTTAAGCTGTGTTTAAACCTTTCATGCACCCTGTAACCTGATAACACGAAGAGTTGTCCACTGTAGTAACCGCTGCCCCTGAAAGGGGTTAATGTGATTCCATCCCCATGTTTAAGGGAGCAATATGGGAGGTTTTTAAATGAGTGGCATCTGCTGTTTGCACGTCACTATTAGAACATATGGGGCGGGCTGCGTGTGTTCAACTTGTACTCCAAGATGTGGCAGTAATGTGCAAAGTCTCACTATTGGTACTTTGATCGCATGTGCGTGCCAAAGTTTGCACATTTCAATAAGATCCCATTAAAAATACATTCATACCCATGTTTGCAAAATGAATTTCTCTCTCTTATATTCTTAAATCTAATACGGTCAAGCATGATGGGGTCATTCTTCCTTTTTGAACACAGAATTTGAATTGAATCTCAGTATGTAAAATACCTCACTGAGATGGTACGAACTGATTCCGGTGTTGCATGTTTGCTGGGTTATTGACAAAATCATGTTTTGGCAGGTCAAGTGCAAATCAATGTGACCCACGTTGGTTTAGTTGAATTAGTTGAACTTTGTTAACAGAGAAATGCAGTATTATTGTACCTTATTCCCAACATGTTACAGTAGAGGGTCAGTGTTTTTCCACGAAGTGTTTTTGTGTCACAGGCCAGTTGCAGTGTCAAAGTTTAATCCGCTAGTTAATTGATAGCATATGCTTCGGTGCGCTCACTCACACACACACACACACACACACACACACACACACACACACACACACACACACTCACGCACATTTCTAACTGTTAAAAGGGAAACTCAATGTGTAGAGAGTTTTATCAACCCAACCGCTGCACAGCAGCTAACTTGTGAGTCACGACAAAAGGTGCTCCTGAGCACACGGACTGAGTGGAATCTGTTCCACTCAACTTTATTCAAACCACCATACCCCTCTTTCCAATACTTTGGGACTGAATAAATGTCACCTTTTCCATGAAAAAGCAAATAACGGAGCTTCTCTCAGGGTTGTCAAATAACAGATCAGAAAACATGTCAGCAGGAACAATAGTGAATCAATTCATGTTGTCGACTGCTTGTCCTCTTAAAAGTTGAGGTTGAGCTGGGTGAGTAGAATGGTTGGGTACACTCTGGACTGATTATCAGCCAATCACCAACTTCATACTCTTAATTCATATCGATGGGCAACTTACAGTCTTTCCATCTATAGATTTTTTTTTTTTTCTTTTCTGGATGACGTGTTCTTGTGTCGAGCATGTGCAGCTAAGTAACGTTTCACCGCGCTGGTGGTGTTCTACCCAGGTTACCCAATGGGTGGCGGGGCCACCAGGCTGTACAACGCCTTGGCTCACACCCTCAGCAGCAGTGGTGGCAGCAGCAATCGTGTCCCTCTCCCTCTGACGCATTTGGACCCTTACCAGCCAGCGGACACAAACCCCGATCCTGATTTCTGCCAGGTGACCGACCGCCTGTCTTCCGACCATGGAAAACACTGAAATGACACAGATTTAATATGCAGAGACTTTGAACAGGAAATGGCAGCATCTGTTTGGTTTGACTTCCAGGAGCAAAAGGGGTCCCCATCGTGTCCCCTTGATCCAGCCCAGGTTCTGAGACAATGTGAGGTGGCCCTCGGTGATGAACCGCCACGCTTCCACAGGACTTTCATTCGACACTCGAATGGCAATGCCGGCGCCATCCGGGTGATGCAGTGGAACATTCTGGCCCAAGGTAAGAAGAGACTGCTGTCGGACGCCATGTTGACACAAATTCTCTGGCTGCACGTTTGTACTTCAGATGTAAAACCCATTTGGGTGGGCATAGACAATTCATTCGAATGTAACGAGTACCGCTCAGAATTATGGAATGGGATGGAAGAGCTTGCTGCTGATGCCGCATCGATTGTTTTTATTTTCATTTTCTAAGATCGGCAGCTTCACAAAACAAAAGTGGTCTCAAAATATTACACACGCATATGTGGGAAGTATGACCCCGTTCCAACGGTAACAACCAGGAAGAGGATTCTAAAGTGCAAATCATTGATTTGTGTCCCTTTTTTTTCATGGTGAATGAAGCTGAAGAACTTCAGGGCCACGTTTGCTTTTTAAGACGCAGATGGGCCAGGCCATTAGTAGATGGGGGGGGAAACAAAAAGGAAAAAAAGAAAATGTTTATCTTAAATATGCAAATCGGTTGATTTAAATCAGTGGCTCTCAAACTTTTTTCACAAAGTACCACATAATAAAGGGGCTTCATAAGAAAAGGACATATTTTTTTTCACATTGTTGATACATTTATCAGTACCTAAGCATACTGGTAAGGGTTATAAAACAATACAGAGAACCATCGATATATCGTGCATTTCATGCACAGCGTAACTCATTGTGCTTGACTTACTGTAATTAAAAGGAAAACATTTAACAGCAGTTCTAGAGTTAAATATATTTAAAAGCAAAGTAAAGAAATTTTTTTAAACAGGTTACCGAAATGACTAAAAAAATGTGGACAGTGAAAGAATACGATTTTCAAAAACATTATTTTCAGAATACTCTGACAGATGGTAAACAGGTATTGGGAAAGGTGCACAGTTTTTAAGTAGGATTTAAAAGCATTTACACTTTATTTCTATGTTTTGAATCTTTATTCATTCATAATATTCGCGCTGGTAGTCACGGATAAGTTGTAATGATTATTAGCTTATCAGTTTGAACATGAAATATCTTGTAATGTATTGAATTAAATACAGGTTAAACATGATTTGCAAATCATCGTATTCTGTTTTTATTTATGTTTTACACAATGTCTCAACTTCATTGGAAATGGGTTTTGATATGATTTCAAATGGGTTTTTTTTTCAGTAGATAATTGAATAAAAAAAAATATATTTTGCTTCCCCAATTTTAGAGAAAATAAGCTTCACGAATGTAACTTGATAATGTTAATACTCAGTGGGCCATATTAAAGAACGTTGCGATCCGTAAGTGGCCCATGGTTTTTTTTTCAGTAGATAATTGAATAAAAAAGAAATATATTTTGCTTCCCCAATTTTAGAGAGAATAAGCTTCACGAATGTAACTTGATAATGTTAATGCTCAGTGGGCCGTATTAAAGAACGTTGCGATCCGTAAGTGGCCCATGGGCGATACTTTGGACACCCCCTGGGAATCACCGATGTACACTATTGACTTGCTGTAATTGTAGCTGGGCGGGTGTTATATGACTCATTGGTCATGCAGATCCAATGTTTTAATGAAGCGAGGCACAGGAACACGATATTACGCTCATACATTCGTCCATTTGCGGACTCTGGTAAATGCTAATAAACTAAAGAATTCAAACATTGTGAAAGCAGAAGCATGATGTGCGACAGTCTCGTCCTAAAGTTCTACGTCTCTCTCTTATCAGCCCTCGGCGAAGGACTTGACAGTTTTGTGCTGTGTCCTCCGGAGGCCCTCAGCTGGTCCCGAAGGAAGTACCTCATCTTAGACGAGATCCTCACCTACCGACCTCACATCCTGTGTCTGCAGGAAGTGGACCACTACTTTGACACCCTGCAGCCGGTTCTGGCCCGTCTGGGTTATAGCAGCAGGTTCTGCCCGAAGCCCTGGTCGCCGTGTCTGAATGTTGAGGGCAACAACGGCCCTGATGGCTGTGCACTCTTCTTTGATGAGTCGCACTTCGAGTTTTTGGATTGCGTCAGTTTACAGCTCTCTGCCATGATGATTCCAACCAATCAGGTGGTTACAACCTTCTTGATGTCACAATTAAGTGCCGCGAACTCCCCCCAAGCCCTTCAAGTTGTAATAATCTGTAATTGTTACCCCCTCGAAAGGTTTAGAATTGCCAAAAGATGCCACAAAATGGTGGCAAAGTACCATTTTTCCCTAAGTGAAACTCCTCAACTCACTTCAACACAGTTCCCGACACCAAAATGTTACAAAGAAAATTTGTGTAAAAATGAAACTCCTCAACTCCAACATAGGTCCTTGACACGCAGATGTCATGGCAGCAGAACACAGCGTTTGTCTCAGTGAAGCTCCTCAATTCACCTCAATATAATTAATTGGCTCCAAATGTCGCAGAATGGTGCCAAAAGTAATACTTTTATTACCAAAAAGAGCAACTAGGTACGTTTCTTAGCAAATAGTGGAGGATAGATTCGATTGCATGTGCAGTTGGACACACTGTCATGTTTTTAAGAGGATGTTCTGCATTTTTTACACAATTTAAAAAGGTTCCCAGGTGATGTAATAACATGTCTCATTAAATTAGCCTATTTTGAAGGGCTGGCCCTGCACATATAAGTCAGCGATCGTATCTACCGCCCTGTGTACTGTTGGCCCAAAGGCAAATCTGTTTTTTGTTCCCATGACGACCAAGGGCAGAGCCTTGGTGTTCTGACTGTTTTCCCCAACAACCCGTGAAGCATCTCTCACATGCCGTTCTGTGGTCTCAGGTTGCTTTGGTGATGATACTACGTTGCCGAAGCACAAGGAGGTGCGTGTGCGTAGCTGTGACCCACCTGAAGGCCCGCGCTGGCTGGGAGTGGCTCCGCAGTGCCCAAGGGTCGGACCTCCTGCGCCAAGTCCAAAATGTGGTCCAGAGACATTCCGCGTCAACATCGGCAGGCTCCAATTTGCACATCCCTCTGATTATCTGCGGCGATTTCAACGCAGTCCCAACTGAGGAGGTGTACTGTCGTTTTGTGGCTTCTCCTCTTGGCTTGGACTCGGCTTATAAGAAACTCAGCCAAGATTGTTTGACCGAGCCACAGTACACAACGTGGAAAATTCGCCCGACCGGGGAATGCTGCACTACTCTGGACTACATTTGGTACAGTCAGGACACGCTGAGGGTGGATGCAGTCTTGGACTTGCCGTCGGAGAAGGAGATTGGCCCTAACAGGCTTCCGTCCTTCAGCTATCCTTCAGATCACCTCTCTCTGGTTTGTGACTTCAGCTTTAAGGAGGACGGATGAGTGGGAAACATAAATTCTGAGAACGCACAATACATCATCACTGACATGTGAACCTGTGCAACAATAATGAAGGAAAGAAAGCAAATATTACAAATGAACTGAAACTTTTTCTACCTCCTGAATTTTGAGATTGTGCTTCGATTCTTGGATTATGTTCCAGATCTCTTCCTCCAAGTGTGGTCTGATGGACATACATGCACAATGCATCTGATGTTAAATCCTAACATTTTAACCGAAACTGTAACATGCTGATATCAAACTGACTGAAATAAACATCATTTTGTGATCTTTTCTATTTTTACCATTATTTACATCCCACCTCTTACTTTTGCTTCCCATCGTGTTGTGTAGACTTGCGGCAGGATATTGTTTTCATGTTAAAAGCTTCAAGGATCCCGAGTACTGTGTACTGCTACTTTAGAAAACAACTACATGTTTCAAGAGCATACAATTCACCAGTGGAACATTAAGACAAATAAATGCTAATCTTGACAAAAATTCCCAATTATGGCACCGCCTTAAAAGTCCAGCCATAAAAAGCCAGGATTGACCACTATTCACAGTGCCCCCAAGTGGTCATATAAATGTAATCATGCAGAATGATTCAAACTGATATCCGGGGGGTCTCACTGGTGGTGGAGTGGGTCAGCCAACTGCCATCACACAGTGGACCCAAGGTTTCATTGCCGCATATGGAATTACTCCCGTGTTTTGCGTTGAAAAATGCTGGTGTCCAATTTTGAGATCATCTACGTCAGGGGTGGCCAACCCGCGGCTCACGAGCCGCATGCGGCTCTTTGGCTGCTTCAATACGGCTCCCGGTCTTTCACACGACAATTGTCGAAAACGCCTTGGCGATGGCGCTGCCATTCAAACAACGGTGCTTAATACACTGAATCACCGCTCATGCGCAGACAACGGCGCTAAGTGCTAAGCTAGTCAGCGAATTACCTCTGTTTTTAAGAAATCGGTGCCCAATATGTCGATCGCAATCGACCATGAGCCAGCAGACTGGTCCCAAGTCACTGCGAGCGGTGGGAGGAGGAAATGGGGGAGAAAAAAAAAAAAAAAGATTTGTGTGTTTGTGTCTTTAGGTTTCATTTTTGTTGGGGCACTCCAGCTGTTGCTCGTCGTGGCGTGCATGCATATGTGCCCAGTGCATAGTTGTGTGTGTGTGTGTGTGTGTGTGTGTGTGTGTGTGTGTGTGTGTGTGTGTGTTCATATGCTTGCACGTGCTCGATCGTGGGAGGTTGGTTGCTCCTAAAGTCGATCTTTGGGCAAAAAAAGGTGTGTGTGTGTGTGTGTGTGTGTGTGTGTGTGTGTGTGTTTTTGCATTAACACAGAAACAAAATTGG